TGTCAGCAAGAAAAGTTGGGCTGGTCATGTGGCACAGATGACAGATAACAGATGGACAAAGCGGATTATGGAATGGTACCCGCGCACGGCCAAGCGAACATTGGGGAGGCCAACAATGAGGTAGAGAGAACTTGTGGTACGCCTGTACAGTACCATGTGGACTCGAAGAGCGCAACAAGAGCGAGTTGAATGTAGAAGTTGCCAGTGTTGCATTGATGGTGTGACAACGAACTTCAGTGACATACAGCTGCTCAAGTAACTCAATTATAAGTAATATCACCGAAAATCATCAAAGTTCCGTAATGCAAGCACTGCTGTGAGATTATGTTTTGGAGCTTTTCAAAATCAGCTGTTAGCGTTTGTTCACGGAATACATCACTGTGTGAAACAATAACAAAACCAAGTTTCTGGAAAAGAGATATGCTTGGGGCATTGTCATCCGTGATTTTCACTTGAAATTCGTTAAGGCCAAGAGTTTCAACGGCATATTTCAGCATCATTTGCGTCGCTTCTCGGCCCAGCCCTTGGCTACGACACTCAGGCTCGGCAATCATAATTTCCAGTTCGCCAACCCCATCTCTTATAAAGATATTTACATCACCAACCATACTTCCAATCTGCAAAACATAAAACGGTCTGTAACTCGCACTGTTGATTTCTGGCACGAAAATCGGAGCTAAGTGCATCCAAAAATGGTGAACCGTTTTTCTCAAAACCAAAAAGATGCCCCCCCCCCCCTCACGAATACACTACCCAATTAAAAAATACCTCGTCGACGCCTGAATCAATCAGTTTTCTGCTCAAAATGATAAATGTGCATTTATCATCATCTTCGCGCCACTTCATCTGCATATCGTACTCATCTTCCAGTGATAAGCGCTCCGAGCCGGTCAACCGCCGTAATTCATCATTCTGAATTTCTAAAATTACCCGTTAAATATCAAGGAATCAGAGGCCTAAGATGCCCGAACAAAGAAAAGCCGGTCCATTCTGTGCAGATTGAAAAGCAAGTCATTTTTTTAATGAAATAGAAGAATGGAAGGATTTCACGTGAATGTCATGTGTATGAGAAGACATTTTATGATGCAGTCTGTCTGTGTTTCATCCCTTAGCTGTATACACACTGACCGAGCTGTGCATGTGGTTAGGAGCGGGAATCACCAGTAACTTTTAAGCTTCTACACTTCTGCAGTTCAAATTCACCAAGATCCAACATTCCAGGTGCAGTTAGTAAAAACTTTTAAGCTTCTACACTTATTCCTTGGAACAGAAGTGAATACATTCGGATGTACCTCCATCCACTGGTGATACTTCTCAACATGATGCTTCTCGTATGGCACTAATACAACCCGCTCTCCGATCAACTTCGTATTCGCATTCAGCCGCATTCCTGCAAAACACAGACACAGGCTACAGAGTCACACAGGCTTGCCTATTCGGGAGATCTGACTGGCACTTCTAGTGTTTTCATTAATTATCAAAATTCGACTGTGTTCCTCTCCACAGTGGCGGGCCAGCAGTGCCAAACAAACTAACGCACAAATGCGACTTCAGGCTCCTTTTCTCGTCTGGTAGCTCCTCTGGCCAGGGATATTCATTGTTTGTATCTCTAAAATTTCTACAACGCTAAATTATGCGTTAAATCCATACACCTATTTAATTGACTTATTTTTTTATGTATATATTTCTGTCAAAAAACCCCCTCGATGTATTCGCTTTCTATGAGAAGTGCATACACTTAGAAGTAACCCGAGTGGTAGCAAATGCCAACAGCAATCAATACCGGCTGGCAAGAATGCTGACGGGTTTCTCTCTTTCGAGGATTGCTTACAAGCAAACTGATGGCGGGTTTGACTCCCTGACATATGCTGGGGCACTTAGTTACTCTAAATTATGAAATAATAGGCCAGATGGGGATTGTACCAGGCGTCATGTGTAGGGTGATATTTTATCATACTTCGGACTAACGGCTTTTCCAGATAT